ATGCAGTAGATATTGCGGCATATCTTGTTGATGGCGGCGGTCTTATGCAACACATTCGGTCGAAAGATAAAATGATCAAAGTTTTCAGCCGGACGGAGTCAGATATCCTTGCAAAGCCAAGCTAATTTGCAAATGCAATGGGCGTACAGCCAACTGAGGTAGAACGGCATAAAATTTTTGAGGTAGAACGCAAGTTGATGGAACCTCGAGGAACGTGCCTACCTGATGGACACCAAGAAAGGCAAAACCGGCGAAGCCTCTGGTTTACCTGTCACTGGCTGATCACAAAAAGAATAAAATATTTCTCTTTGCAGAATTGGCATCCCTGGAAGTCCTAGGGTGGTTGATTCACTGGGTCACGTAGAAGATTGAAATCCTCCCGCTGTTCAATACCATTGTGTACATTGCAATACGGATGTGTCGTATGGTGGGTTATTGCCAAGTTATCGTATGACACAGAATAACTCCATTCCGTAAGCTTCCCGGCCGTTGATGCGGGATGTCCATGTGATGAGAGGCTTACGAGCTCCACATGTCTTTTATATGTATATCGTGTTAAGGTTCTTGGCACACAGCAGCGGACTTCAACACGGTGAACCACGGGCTAAGCATTTTCCAAAGTCCCAAAACAAGTTTGATTTAGTAGTGTTTGTTACGTGCCAGTTTTTGATGGCTTTTGAATGTCTGCCGTCCCAACAGTCTTAAGTAATAAGGTCCGTCGTCATCGAGTATCCCGCGAAACAGGTCTGCTTAGTTGACAACAGTTCGTAGTTGAGATCCCGAAGTTGGATGTAAAGCTGATCGGTTGTACTCGGCAACCCGCGTTCAGTGACTTTAATAACCCAATAAATGAAGCATCAAAAATTAGGGATTATCTAAGAATGTGCAACTACGATTCAAGAATAAGAAATTTCTAACTTATCTCATCTAAAACCTTGTGAATTCCATGACAACTGGGCAAATGCACCTCAAATTCGCACCAAGAACCCAGGGCAAACGTCTTAATCAGCGAAGTCGTCACGATGGAAGACACGCCATTGCGGACTCAAGAATGCAGTTATCTGAAGGTCCCACTCTATAATGGCAATAGAGCATGTTGATCAGTCACAACAAGAGAGAAAAATCAATTGTTAATCAAAAGATACAGTGATAAGCTGAAGAAAGACATACAAACTTTGTGATCAGAGCCGACGACGGTGTATACCCCTCATCCTAATCGAATAAGACAAATGTTCACAGTTTTCCGTAGCGTTTTCTCGACCCATTCACCATATCCAAAATGAAGCGTGTCCCGTTGTTGGCCTACTATTGGACTCTATAAATTACAGGACTCAACTTTGAACTGAGTAATGCATTCAACTTGACCTAATCGTAGTCTCCTCGTTCATTTGCTTACTGCGCATCCGTGCTTCTAAGCTCTACTTGGTATGCTCAATTACACGCGCCACTCACAATGCCTCAAAGACTGTCCCTTGCCAAATCTTCTGTATAGCATGTGTGTCTGTGTGTGAATGTGCGCAGCTGTTCCACTTGCCCTCCGTGACCTATCCGACTACTGAGCCTGCTCTGACTTGTTCTCTCATGCGTGATCGAACCATCGAGCGGCATCACCAGACTATCGTCCGAAGGGCTGACCGCAACCTACACCACTGAGCCAACATTCCACCCAAGGTTTGGTCTGTGGAAGTTTACAATGTGCTGTGCCGGTCAGCAAAAGACCAATGCAATAATTGTCACCACAAAAGTGAAAAATTGAGGTCTGTTTTATAAATTTGCATATCCTTGTGTGAAAATACCACAAGTTTTTGAACCCAAGTCTCCCTTTTGATAGCCCGGATTGTCGAACCTACTCGTCACTCGGAATTGGGGTTCAGCATAGTGCAGCGTTGACGGAAAGGCTCTCGTGAACGAGGATATCAGAACTGAATATTGCCGGACAGCCTGAAACGTAACGTTCCAGTGTACGTGACCTTGTAAACAGATAGTCTTAAGCACATGTAGGACTAAAGTACGGACGTCAGAAATTTGTGCTATTATGCCACTCCATCGGTTGAATGGTGGGTGAGGGCTATACGACGGAGCGAAATTTTAGTCAAGCCTGGTCCACGTGTTAATGAGTCAGCCTCAAATTAGTTATTGGTGGTGTCATATTCCGCTTTCGATAAACATACTGCGTAAGAGTACTTTTCCAAATCTTTAGATGCCACTGTACAAATAGCTCGTCCACGATAGGCGAACTGATCACACTGCATTGGTTGTGCTGGATTGACCCCTTACTTCGTATGCCATTTGACTGACTTCCCTGGACGGTCCTTTCTGCAACAAACTCAGCTGTACTGACCACTGCCGTCTCCCTGGATGAGGTCCCCGAGACGTGACATATCAGTGGGTAAAGACATTGTCAGGCATGGCCGAGTTGCGCCTGCAGTGGCGCTTGTGAACCCAAGATATTGTCCCCGATCTCCACACCCAGTCTTCTCAACTAAAAGCCCACTGGCACGATTTTATTTACACATCAATTATATCAGTTATGGCTCCCGATGTGAAACTATCTAACCCACCTGCTTAAATCCTCGGCGAACGAAACGGTGGCAGCTATCACCATTTTTCGGCAAGTACGCAGCTTTTACAGCTGATGGTGTTGATGAGTCGAGTTTCCTTCTTAGGTGTACGAGGATTACAAAATTAGCACTGAATTGGAGGCTGACTCATTGGGTGGGCGAAAAAACTGGCAAACCTTCGAGGGAATAACGGTTAGGCTATGTTTTTGATAAAAAAGCTAAAAAAGCGTGAAAAATCTGATTGGTCAGGCTTCTGCAGGTACATTCCTCTATGCTTTTCCTCTTGAAAAATCTGCAACTCCTAATGTACTTTTTCGACTCCAAACTACTAATTAGTAGTACAAAATTAAAACTAATGAAAAGGTCACCAATTGAAGGCAAACCATTACAGTCACCAATTGAAGGCAAACACACACGCCAGAGTCTAACTATTACGAGATAGCTTCAACTTAAAGGTATTATTGTTTGACAGGTATATTTTGTCGATTTCTTTGGATGATCGGTTGAAAATTGCGGATCATTCATACTTCCCATGGGAGTAACCGAACTTCGATAATTTGGTTGCAATTGCGGCTTTCTATAAGGAATTGCAACCAAATAGATAAATCATCTACTTTCTGTGACCCCTATTTATGGTGATGTACATCCATCTCCATTAAAACAGTGGCCCCTGACCGATCGCAGAACGTACACAATTATCTTTTTTAAACGAAGTGAATAAAATCCGCTTTGCACCAAATTCGCAGTCCGATTGAAAACTGTTAAATTATTTTGTTTGATGTTAAGTAACACGAGAATTGTTTTTAGAACAGTAGTCAAAGATGAAAAGATCTATCCTTCTCGTAATAAACTGAATGATCTTCGATGCGGCAGCTTATGTTTAACATGGATTACAATGTTGGGAATTATGGCAACGGGTTTGCGACTCTTAGTACAGATGGATATCAGACAAAATAATTGGTGTACTTTGGGGACTTTGTACGTTTTATGACTCTTCGCTGATTTAC